TCTAGACTACGGAGGCCGCTTGGGCCTATAGGGTATATACTCGTAGTCTAGGCCTCCAAGGTCTGTTACAGGAATATCTTTGCATTTACAGTACGAAGGAGAGGAAGAATATACCGGTTAAGGGCTGGGCGAACGGCTGCAGAAGAAGATATCTCGCCTCATAACCACGTTCAGATTAGCTCTGGAACCCTCGTATCCGTCTACAAGTTCGTAACGGTAAAACACAAATAACAGTGAAAGCATTTTATATTACATGTACCCGCAAGTCTTCTGTTTCATCATCAATTACGGAAGCTATATATGCTGTGTTGACGAGTATGGAGACAGAAGAGGTTGATTACCTAAGCAAATACCTAATTTCTGACGAAGCAACATTCCACACTTAGGGGACTCCTAACAGGCTTAACGCATACATTCTTGTTCTTGTCAACGCAACAAACAGAATATGAAAGAGACACTCCTAAGATGCATCTGTGATGTGAATTAATGAAAGGTAAAGCTACCCCTGTAACATGCCATGCAGACAGACCCATAGGGTTGTGAAATGTCAAGGCTTCCACATCTAGACAATCGGCTAACAGATGGCGGTGAGGTTGTCAACGCGCCGGCCGCCCTTCACCTCCAGGAAGATTCCTGGTACTCATTTCTGTCAGAGGCTGAATCGACACCAAAGCCATAGTGCGGCTGGAAGGGTTAGGTGAATTGAAAATTTCAATTACTTCTTCGGTAATTGAACCCGCGACCTTCCGGCTTGTAGTTTAGTGCCTCAACGATCTACGTTCCCACGTGCCCCTGATATGAATAATACAGAATGAAATGATGGGTCCATTGTTCTTCACAGAGGACATATCACACCGCAATGTTTTTTGATTTGAGAGAAACTGCGCTTTCCCACAGCGTCAGGGACATAGTAGCGCAACAAGATGGCGCACTCCGACATTTCGGTAAAGTTCTGCGGCAGTAACTGAATAACCAGTTTCAGAATACGCATTTGTTAGAGGAAAACGGATATGCTGACCTCCCCGTTCAGCCAACTTTTTAATTACGTAAAGACAAAGTGCATCTCTCAATGGTGACATGCTTACAAAAATTCAAAAGAAAGCTCGTATTGTCACAACAGAGTGTTACCTTTAAGTTACAATTTGTTTTGTTGTTTCATCTTATTACACCCAACAATTACTTAAATCTGAAACACTTACATCCTATTACGAACACCCTGTATAGTTATCAAGGAAGAAGAGTTTGGAATCCATTACCTCCGTGCATATGAACGTCTCATGAAATAAAATACTAACACAGAAGACTCGCGCAAAACATTTACAGCAAACGTAAAGTTGTCCCTATGTTTAATTAATTACCACGCCATGAAAACATATGGGGGAGTGTTACCTCCACCATTCTTGACCTCAGAACTTGATAGAGGTGAGCGCCCAGTATTAATTCACAAACATGAGATGAAAGGAAATGGACCAAAATTGCGAACAACCGTCTTTATTGAAGAAAGTCGTCTTCTGGGATCTGGCGCCGTGTATTCTTGGTTTTAAACGACGTTTTTGAGGAACATATCGCCTCCATCTTCAGGGCAGCCGTAGCTGCATTGCAGCTACGGCTCTCTGTATTCACAACGCAATTCAACTGCCCTGAAGATGGAGGCGATATGTTCCTCAAAAACGTCGTTTAAAACCAAGAATACACGGCGCCAGATCCCAGAAGACGACTTTCTTCAATAAAGACGGTTGTTCGCAATTTTGGTCCANTGGCAAAGATGGGAAAGATGGGAAAGTAATTAAAAATTATAATATTTTTAACATATTTATGAAATGAATACAGTGCAAGAATAAACCAATGTAGGTACTGAAAGGTTATGTCCAACAACAATCAGGTGTAACTTTTTCAGTTCACAAAATTTCTGATAGGAATCAGCTTTACTTCATTCTTCAATCTCCAGCCCAAAACAGTTGTTCCTTCTTATTCATCAGTGATCTTCAACAAAACAGTGACATTTCGTTCATTGCACTCCAAATTAAATCGGCTGTATTCTATTCCATTAATGTCCATTTGAAATCAACTGTATTCCATTTAATAACCCCTAAAGCAAAACAACTCCGTCATTTTAGTCCACAAGCAACTATACCGACCGAGCGACCGACGCTTGTCGGCAAAGTTAGTGCCAACTTTAGCGGATAGAGGATGTCGCGTTGTCAGCGCAACGAATCCCCAAGGCCGTTAATTTCGGTTTTCTAGACCGGAGCCGCTACTTTTCGATTCAAGTAGCTCCTTAGTTATCCTCACGAGGCTGAGTGGACCCCGTTTCAGACACATTACTTCTCAGAAAATCCGGTACCGCCGGGAATCGAACCCGGGACCCCTGGATCTGTAGCCAGGAACTCTGACCAATACACCACTTAAAATAAATGTACCCTGTACTCCATTCGCTAATTCCCAATTTTGTCTCAAGGATTTATCACCTGCCATCTGCTCACTAATTCCACTGCAGCAAGTAAGTAAAACTTAAGAGACAAAGTATTTTTTTTATTGCTAGTGGGGTGGGACTAAGTCCCTTGTACTGTGGCCACTTCTGGCTTATGGTACCAGCCCCAGATGATAGGTGAGGGTGATTGTGGAGCAATTGGTGGAATGAAGATGGGCAAGGGAAACCGAAGTACTCGGAGAAAACCTGCCCAAGCGCCACTTTGTCCACCACAAACCCCACTTGACCAGACCCGGGATCGAATCCGGGCCGCCGCGGTGGGAAGCCAGCGACTAACCGCTTGAGCTAAGGCGCGGCCAAGAGACAAACTAAACGGAAATATCAGGGCAATGTGCAGTCCAACAACCACACATGTCTCTATGGTAGGCCAGATCAAGTTCATAAATACGTAATATACAATTTCAAATTGTTCACATACCTTTGGGGTGGCAATTATTGCCAGTTATTAGAAACAAAAATAAACCTTGAAGTCATTTAACTCAACTAACGACACAACACTTTCACCTCCATATGGGATGACAGACTGGCTTAAGAAAGAATTTCCCAGTATCACTTTCCAATAACAAACATTCACAACAACAGTGACACAACCTTCTTTTGCAGCACACTTGTTCTTCTTAGAAGCAATCCAACGCATTTCATAACCATGAAATATCATCATAATCCAAGACAGCTACTTGTACTCCTTGTCAGACATAACCAGAATGCTCAAGCGAAGGGGGAGCCGGGATAGCTCAGTTGGTATAGCGACGGATTACGAGTTGGAAGGCTCTGATTCGACTGCCGGCAATGCAAGATTTTTTTCTCCTCTCCACAGCATCCAGACGAAACTGGAGCCCAGAAGCCTCCTATCCAATGGGTACCGGGGGCTTTTTCACCGAGGGTAAAGCGGCAGGGGCGCGAAGCTGACCGCTCACCTCTATCTAATGCCGAGGTCAATAAAGTTGTAGTTATACCTTTATTCTCCCGTATCTCTTCATGGCATAGTGCTTAATTAATTAAGCAGACAATTTTACATTTTTACAATTATGAAATAAATGGGAAATGATATGGCCGAGGTATTTAGCAGGCATGGGAAAGAACAGGTACGGATACAGGGGTTTTGCAAAAAAAAAACACCTGAAGGAAGGAGACCACTAGAAAGGACTAGACATAGATGGAAGGGTAATATTAAAATATATCTGAGAGATATATAATTGAGGATATGAAATTGATTCATCTGGAGCAGAATGGAAACCATTGGTAGGCTCTTGTGGATATGACAATGATCACTCTTGTTTCATAAAATGCTGGGAACTTCTTGAGTAGCTGAGCGACTGGGTGCTTCTCAAGAAGGGCTCAGCTTCATGGAGTTAGTTAGATGGCAAATTATTTTTTTTTTGTAATCTAAATTCATTAGTCAGCCAAAAATTGTTGGACAAGCTATCATAATATCGGAACAAGAGTTTGTGAATTCACATCAATAATTGCATCTGTATAACTCATTACATGCAGAAACCCCATACATATGGATTTTGTCTTAAGTTACATAAGGGTAGGGAGAGTCAGCCCATAAAACATGAGATCTTAAATTCGCTTAGTTGATAGTTTCCTTGCGGACTGAAATCGTGGAGTTTGTTTTGATTGTTTTGGAGGTGGAGTCGAACTGGGTCCACTCGGCACTGATTGGCCTATTGTAACCTGCCCCGGGTGATTATGATGATGGAGAATTTGATGGAATGAAGATTGGCAGGGGAAACCGAAGTACTAGGAGAAAACCTGCCCCAGCGCCACTTTGTCCACTACAACTCCCACGTGACCAGACCCTGGATCGAACTCGGGCCGCCGTGGTGGGAAGCCAGCGACTAACCGTTTGAGCTATGGCGCGGCCCTGAGATGTCAGATTCTCATGGTGGTGACTAGAAAGATTACTACTGTCTTATGGGATATGACGCCAGTAGTCTGGTAAATGTTTAGCAACGTTTCGGAGGAACCTGATGCAGCCATCTTCTACTACATAACAACAAAGCCGAATTACTTCCTACAGACAGCTCTACATCCAGATTCGATATTTTCTTCCTTGTATATAAAAGAAGAAACACAATGGTGAGAAGAAATTTCTGAAATTACACACTTTCGGGTTGCCATAACGACGTATTGTGGAACATTAACACGCTGCGTTACGTTAAGTTACGTCGTATGCCATGTAAGAGTGTGCAACCTTTTGATTTCAGTGTATCGTGTCCATTCTGTGAGTATTAATAATATTTTGATGTGGATATTTATTGTGTACCATATAAAGGAGACGATTTATGATTGACTGTGCGTGTTATTAGTGGGAGATAACGAGAAACGTCGGCATCGACATATCATTCGATAACATGTAGGACTGAAAGAAAGTAGAGAGGAAAGCAGAGGAACTTTATAATACGGAAGCTTACATAACAAATGATGGGACTTCGCGTTGAATTCTCAGTGAGTGTTAAGAGTAATTAGAGTAAGACAACAGAGGTGCCGTTGACGTACTTACCTTTGTTGTGACTCGTGCAGCGCGTATCTGTAGACGAGGTTGATTGTAAAATAGAGACATAGGTAAGCTAAAAGTTCCCTCCATATTAGCTTGTACACACTGCCTTTCCATCTGAAAAAGAAAATGCAATACATGTTAATACATGAAATAACTAATTTCTTCTAAATAAAATATATAAAGGCTTACTTCGTGAGCGAGAAACACTTGAAAGAAAAACTCCGTGACCTATAGTCCGCAAGCGAACTATACCGACCGAGAGACCGCAGCTTGTCGGCGAAGTTAGTGTGCCGACTTTAGCGGCTAGAGGGTGTAGCGTGGTCAGCGCAACGGATCCCCACGGCCGTTAATCTCAGTCTTCTAGAACGGAGCCGCTATTTCCTTGAAATAGCTCTTCACGAGGGTGAGTGGACCCCGTTCCAGACCCACTACTTCTCAGAAAATCTGGTAGCGCCGGGAATCGAACCCGGAACCTCTGGATCTGTAGGCAGGAACTCTGACCACAGAGGCGGTCCCGCAATAAGCAATAAGAGAAATCTTAGTCTAAATTAAAACAATTTGTCGAAACAGAAAGCGAAAACATTTGTACCAGATGATAATGAAACTGCTGTCAAGACGCTTCTGCTAGTGGCCTGAACACTGCGAATCAACTGGAGCAGATAGTTCTGGGGCAACGTGTTTCGAAAGAGTTACTGCCGCAACAACTCTGCGGCTCCGGGATCAGACAGCGCCAATGAGCAGAGTTGTGCGCGTGTGTACTGACAAGTGCCGGCTGGAACTGGGACATCAAGGGCTGCACAGTTCCAGGTCAAAGTACTATTCTCTCCTGCCATTCAGAAATGGAAATTATTGTCATTTACGAGTAACCTCTCAAAGTGGATAAGAACACATGTGCTAACACAGTCGTAATGAATCTTAATGGATGTTAAGTAATATGCCTCTAACCAGCACTGTGGAAATTAGCACACAATTTGAGTCTGAGACTAGGATGAAAAGGAGAAAGATTAGAAACAAATCGTAACAATTAAAATATACAAAATATTTTTCCTTATTATATTGTTAGTGAGCGTGTGAGCTAAGCTTGTGAGTGTGAGTGAGTGTGTGAATGTGAATGAGTTTGTTTTGTGAGTACGAGTGTGTAATATGTGAGAGCGTGTGAAGAAGCGACTGTGTGAGTGAGGGCAATTGTGTTTATGGGGGTGAGTGTGTGTTTGTTTTGTAAGTACAGACCTTGTGTGTGTGTGTGTGTGTGTGTGTGTGTCTGAGAAACACACAGAGTGTGTGTTTGTTTTGTAAGTACAGACCTTGTGTATGTATGTGCGTCTGAGAATGTTTGTGAGTGTGTGTGTGGTCTGAAATTCTGTCCGTCATTCGACGGGAAGAAAATATATCGAAGGTGTTCAAGAATACAATTTTCATTACAGTATTATGATATACGAAAAAGGAAGTAACAGGAAATTGGATAATTGTACTGATTATGAAACACTAATAAGATGATCAAAGAGAGGAGTTTGGAATATATGGTCAGTCACAAATTCCCTACGAAGACTTCTGAGATAACGTACAAATTAATAAAATAAAGTCACGGGGCTGAAACATATTTTCAAGTACATACTATTTTGCCGGTCACGGCAGCCGAGCTGTCTAAGGCATGCACCGTCTTCGCTCGCTCGGAAGCCGAGATCGTCGGTTCGAATCCCACCCAGGGCATGGGTGTTTGGTGTTTGTGTGTGTGTGGGTATGTGAGCGTTTTTCTGTTTGTGTAGACGCCTTGCGATGAGCTGATCACCCACCGAAGGAGTCCTACCCAATGTCTAAGTTCTAGTAAACTGAAGTGAAACGGAGCGTTTCATGGAGGAAGGCCAAGGTCCAAATTGGGGCTGTAGCGCCAAAGGAAAAAAAAAAACACACAATTTGTTTCAGTCAATAAGGAAGAAATGAAATCGCGAATTAAGATAACTTTATTGTTCATAAAGATCTGACTTCATAAGGTCAACTCCACTAAAAAACATTATAAGAATCCTCAAGTCTAAATTTATAGCAAGACCATTAGTGTACATGAAGATAAATAAAGCACTGGAAAATCCCTAATGATGTCATTAATGGTCATGTTGGATGGACATGGGTCACATCAAGTACCCAGGGTGTTTGCGTGGGTAGTGTCCGTAGTTAATGGTGTACATCTACGATTAGCAGAAATGTTATGCTATGGCAGCAAAGAAAGCTTACAAGGAAAGACTAAATTACGTAAATAACTTATTGTTGTGTTAGAAAACGACTCATTACTGCAAATTTGAAGATGAGGTAACTGCAGCAAAAATTATTTCCACGCAATGACAGGTGAACGACATTGATTACAAGTTGATATAAACTAGTCAAATTCTGCTGAAAATTATATTGTTCTAGATATGATTTATGCAGATATCCCTCTTACTGGCCCATTCTTACGTACTGTGATATGGCAGCTGAAAGACAGGAAAGGTAGAACCAAGAGAGACGGCTGTTGTTAAGTAACGGCCAATAAACACGTCTCCTCGGCAATGGATACATATTCAGCAACTGAGGAAGTGTTGGAAATTGAGTTTTCTATGCGGTCCGTGCCGAGGTTATATAGCGAGAGAGGATGTTACATAAAGACTATGAAGGCAAGGGTTCAGTTGCAAAAAATATATCTCTGGTCGTGATCCACTAGGGGCTTGGCGCCAAGACGAACTGATGGGCGGTAAACGACCACTACTACACTGTATCTTCAAGTACAAATATATATCTATTTATCACACCAGTCGTCAATTATTTTTCAATCATATCGAGGTCACTGGGCCTTGGTTAATTATCCGTTCCGAAATAAACGAATGTAAAACTAGAGCAACTTAGGCTAGGGCCACACAAGCACACAGAATGCGTCCGTTGTAACGAACGTCGTGACGTCCGTTGTAGAAATAAACAAGAGAGGCGAATGCTACGCTTTCTTCTGGCTCCATTGCAGACAAAAAACTACGCACCGCATTCTGTAACTGTGTGGTATCTCAGTAACGTCCGTCATAAAGTACGTTCGTTGCAACGGACGTACTTCGTGCGCTCCTGTGGCCAGCCTAAGACTGCATCGTCTTTAAGTAGAATTTGAGGTTCTCACAGCGGTAGTTATGAAGAGTTCTATATTCTGGGATATAATACCATATAATCCATTTATAGTCAGCCGACGTTTCGGAGGAACATGTCGCCTCCATCTTCAGGGTTGAAGAACAAACCAAGAAACCAGTGTCTGATTTGACGATTGGCAGGTTACAGTATGTGTGCTTACACGGCAGGTACCGTCATTATTAAATAAGTTACATTTGATTGTTTTGTAATAAGAGATATTATTCATGAGGGGCACGTACAACTGCCTGCCCACGCAGGGTCATACCGTCGGGACGTCATAGCCGAAGTGTTCAAGTAACAATGCAAACAACAAACACACCATCCATTCTGAAGTACGTGTATCTTTCAGCATGACGATACGTGCAATATCGGCGACATCACGTTCAGTCTGAGCAAAACTGAATTCCGGGTTTTTCACGTCTTCGGATAAGTCCAATGTTCTTACCCACTCTATTGTCAAAGTAAACTATTAAAATTACTTATTTATTATAACAATAAACGAACATAAATATTCATGTTGAATATGAAATAAATCTACTGAAGTCTTATGAATATGACCGCCTCTGTGGTCTAGTGGTCAGAGTTCCTGGCTACAGATCCAGAGGGGTCTGGAACGGGTCCACTCAGTCTCGTGAGGATAACTGAGGAGCTACTTGAATCGAAAAGTGGCGGCCCCGGTCTAGAAAACCGAGATTAACGCTGATCACGCGACATACTCTATCCGCTAAAGTTGGCACTAACTTCGCCAACAAGCGGCGGTCGTTCGATCGGTATAGTCCGCTTGCGGACTACAGGCCACGGAGCCTTATGGATATACCGTATATTCGTGTTGAAGAAATGAGTTACCAAAACTGTCCTGAACTTTATTAAAACATATATTAAAAAGATAAAGCTATCTCTGTAAGAGGTCGTGAAGGCCCATAGGGCTGTGAGATGTCGAGGCTCCCACATTTTCTAGACAATCGGCTCGCAGATGGCAGTGAGGTTATCAGCCTTACGCGCCAGCCGCCTTTTATCCCCCAGGAAGATTCCTTATACTCATTTCTGTTAAGGGGCGTCCACATTACTCGTGCTCGTCGGGAGACTCGTCTGGCTTTTACTTGTGCTCGTAAATCTTCGTCCACACTACTTCAGTTGTTCGCCAGGTTTCTGCACGTGAGGATCCGTATATTTACTCGTAGTGTGTATAGGCTGTAGTCGTATTTTAATTTATTGGCTATAGCTTTTAAATAAAAATTTTAAATTTTGATTGTCTCGTGACTTGTCACATCGTCCACACTACTTCAGTTGCTCGCCAGGCTTCTGCACGTGAGGATCCGTATATTTACTCGTAGTGTGTATAGGCTGTAGTCGTATTTTAATTTATTGGCTATAGCTTTTAAATAAAAAATTTAAATTTTGATTGTCTCGTGACTTGTCACATCGTCCACATTACTCGCGAGCATAGCGAGCCACAAGAACACGAGTAATGTGGACGCGTCTTTAGAGCCTGAGTCGGCCCGAGGACCGTAGCGCTACTGGAAGGATCAGGTCAACTGAAAAATTCATTTTCTCCAAGAAATCACATCGTTTCTTCGTTCTGTTTTGCAGACCTGGGCGTGAGGATCTCTAAACACGAAAGATCTGTAATTATAATATTTAGCAAACGACCTTGTCCAGCATTCACCTATTAAGCATGATGTGCTGATATGCAAAAGCCTGCAGTTAGTGCAATTTATTACATCTTGTAGCCTATATAATCTGTAACGACTGAGTGATTCCTAAGTAGTCACGTCTAAAACAATATTATTGTGACGCCTCCAACAGAAAATTAGCGAAGATAAGACAAAAGAAAGGTCAAACGAAGAAGCCTACAGGAAAGTGTGAAGTGTGGCAACGCAAGAAAATGGGGCTTATTATGTAACAGTAAATTCAGTCATGCAGTTCTCATTCATCCAAGTGTTCACATCCGCCGTGGTAACACGTAATAAAAA